ACAAAGAAACCTTACAAAGAAAAGAGGATGGGCTTTCTAAAACTGCAGCATCGGTTAACAATCTAGGGAGCTGGTCCCAAACACGAGGCAACCTGATGGCTACCGAGTTGAAAAATGCTTGGGTCCTTAATGCTTGGTGATGGAAACACAAGCGATCATTATGTCTGGTATTGATTTTGATACCATCATAAACCGTGCTGCAGCTTAGAAGGCCCATCAGAACTTTAAAGCAAAAATAATAAGCAATTTGTCCCTTCTGACAGACAAAGAAGAAAAAGAAAGCAAATGTAAATCTTGGAATTACTTTTTAACACAGGGAGTTTTATTTTCATTTTCGGGCTAGCTGAGCCAGGTAATTATTGTTGGTATCCAATGGGAGGTTATAAAGGAGTGTTTCTGACATCCCATTGGTTGTTAGACAAAACAAACATCATTTGCATCAAGAATAACTGCTTGCTTCGAATCGTTCAAATAGGAAACCCAAAACGCCTTCATTTACTTCACCCAGCGACAACTCACAGCTACGTTTGAAACGTTCTGTTCGAACACCCGACGCTTAAGTCAGTATACTGGTTACCACAAATCTACCCCAGCTAACGGCGAAAATCAAGGTAAGAGACGTAAATCTAGTAAAAATCAAAACAAAAAAAGTAAACCATGTTTCTCCTTCTTTTTGGGGACCGTTTTTTTCCCCCTCTTCTCTTTTACTGAAAACCAAAATCTAATGCACTTAGGGTAATCTAATCGAATGACAGTTATTAACAGTGATTTTGTAAAGGGTACAGGCATAGAAGAGGCCTGAAAATAGTAAATAGTGTAAGACTACCTGCCTTTCAAACGTGATACCACAAATCCTATGATATTTGGCAATAATTAATAATTAATAATTTAATTAAAAGAAAAATGAACACACGCTTCCTTTTTCAAAAATGTTCGGACGTGGAACATTATGTTTTTTTCTACTTAGTACGCTTGTTCCTTAAACAGATTGCAAAAAGCTTTACCTGGGCATGGATCCCCAAAAATAACTGGGTATGCAAATGAAAAATTAGATTGTGGATTAGCTAGGCCGCGCCTGTATGTACTGTACATACATTATACTACCGGCTATACCTCTCACTAAAAGGTAAGCATTCTATTGTTAAGTCCGGCGCAAGGCGTTGAACCCAGGGCCTCGCTGCTGTTCTTGTTCTTGTTCTTGTTGTTACCAGAGAATTTTAAAAGCACCCAGCGTCGCCAGTTTTTGAGGGACGTGCATGAACTTCTGTACACATATAAACTAGAGGTGATTTCCAATAAACGTTCATTGCCCTTTTTAAAGTTGGACCCTATGGTTCCCTCTACACCTAAAAAACAAAACACTGGTTTCAGCAAGGATTGTACATTACTGCCATTACCACTAATAGGGCACGTAGCATGGGGAGAGCGTTCGGTTGAGGATGTGTTCTAAATAACTTAAGGTTGGTTGAGAGTTCCAATCGCGTCTTGGTGTTCAATTTTCTTTCCTCAATTTTAAGATTTTTTTTTTTTTTTTTTCAATTTTAGGATATTTCAGTTTTTTACAAATGAACATTCTAAATAATATATTTTTTTTTTGTACAAATAAACATTCTAATTATTAAAAATTTCTATCTTATTAGCTCTTCCCAAAAAATCGCCAATATAATAACATGCGCCTGTATCGTACAGCATTTAAGCGTTACTCTGTAATCTCTTCTAATGAGCTAATATTCATTTAATTCATGTAAAGTCAGCCTCCGGATGAAAAAAATTTTTTGATACGTTGTAGAACTGATTTTTCTAAGACAGAAAAAAGTTGTTTGACGAAAAACTGGGGAACGGTGAATGAGATACAGGTTTTTTAATATTTAAAAACTGGGGGGAAAATGGGCGTAACTGCCCATTTTTACACCTTATTCCCCCAGTTTTTTAATATTCAAAAATCTGTATTTCATTCACCGTTCCCCAGTTTTTCGTCAAATAACTTTTTTTGGTCTTAGAAAAATCAGTTCTACAAAATATATATAAAAAAAATTTCCTCCGGAGTCTGACTTAAAGGACGACGCTAATTCGTACAGCGCGAGCTATCTCAAATGATGGGATAGTTCAGTATATAACATTAACTCATGATATTCACATAATAATCTCTTGTAGTTACTCTTATTAACATAAATTGATGAATCAAGGATGCTGAGAATTTTAATACAGAAGTCATTTTATAGATGAACACTGTCACATACATAACTAATGTGCTAAAATAGCCCAAAATCACTCAAACAATATAGCATCAGGGGGTTTGTCTTACTACTGTAGTAGTGGAAAATATTTAAATTGCATGAGAGCTATCCAAAATATCAACAATTTCTTTAAATATGCAATAATCGGAAAAAATAATCAAACTTACAGTAATTAATATTAGTGTTCAAAGGGTGTGTTGTTTTATTTCATATTTCTATTATTTTTCTGTAATCAGAATTTCATCTAAAGAAATAAGAGGTGAGCTACAAATAGCTCTCCTGTAAGTATCAAGAAGCTCTGTTACCTCACCTCAGAATCTTAATCGGTGGTGACGATATTTGCAATGCAGGGGGTCTACTTGCTCTCGATTGGAATTTGAAGCATTTTTAGAAGGCCATAACTTCATGAATAATAACAAAATAAAGTTTCTTGATAATAAGAAATTCCTTAAATCTTATGTAGTTGTACCAAAATTCGATATTTCAGAACCCGTTCAACATGAATAATAAAGACAGAGCAGACCCAGTACGTAGCGTAGGCCCTAGGCCTATGTGTTTACAAAACTTCGATCTATTTCGCGATCATACGTGACCTAGGGATAGAAGGTGAGGATCTGGGATCAAATTTAAGGGGGGGGGGGAGGTGCAAAATGTTTCCGAAAAACCTCAAAAAGAAAGGGATTTTTTTTTTTTGTATTCTCTTGAATTTACTTTGAACTTACTTTGGAAAAGGTTCTTGTTTGTAACTTTTGTACTAGTTACGGTAGACACCTTTTACGACACCTTTTTGTTTGACAACCATTGCGTTTGCGACACCCACCTTCCAATCACAGTAACGAACGCTACGCGTCCGCTAGGTGGCACGTGTAATCAATCGACGCAGACGAAGGAGACAACATCCACAAAGTACAATATATACAATTTATTTACAATTGATGCGTATTGCGAACGTCGCTGCTCTTCCGTGCTGGCGACTAAAATGCCAACAAATAACAAAGTAAGATTTTTGTCGACTTTTAGTGACCACTAAAAGCTCATTAAACCATTAACATTACATTAGTTATCAAATAGTATCATCATTATTAAACAGTTAATATAAAAAATTAATAAAATAACATATTATTCTACATTAACAAGTAAACATATATGTAGAGTAAAGTGTAGTAAACACTCTGATATATATAGAGGTGAGCCAAGGTTCAAGAAACATTATCAGAACTTTCAACTTAACAGTACTTGACTTTGACACATCCAATAGCATACAATACTTTAAAAACAAAATCAAATGGCCCATTAATCTAAACTTAAAGGTGACTGTAACATAAATATAACAAGCTATGTCGTTGCTATTTCCAACCAACCATGGATTGTTCTCCAGTGAATACTAATGAGTACCGGTACATTTCGGGAACTTAATACTAAAGATATAAGATAAATGGGGCCCAATATTGGTATCTTGTAACTATTATATTACATATCATCCTACAGTTTAATACATAGAGTAACCTTTGCAATCAATATTAATGATAAAAAATGTCTTAATTAAGCCCCATTTACACTACACGATTACGACACGACGACATATCATCGCGTAGTTTATATTCTTCAACACTGTGCGCATCTGTATCGTGTCGTTGTCGTGTCGTAATCATGTCTAGTGTAAATGGGGCTTTATACATGTCCATATACATCTATGCTTAAATTAATAATTTTAAAACACTTGTTTAAATATTAAACAATCATCGTTTCTTAAAATAAATCTTCAGATGAACCAACTTTAAACAACATCAACAATATGTATGCTGTAAAATACCAACATAGATTAATTATCAGTAACGAAATTACCTAATACAAGTTAATTATATAAAGCTATATATTTCATACCATGCAAAAAGAATGATAAGAAAGTAACTTACATATGTCGCAAACACAATCATTGTCAAACAAAAAGATGTCGTAAAAGGTGTACTGTAGTACAAAAGTTACAAACAACCTTTTCAATAGTAAATCCCAAGTAATTTCAATATATTACAAAAAACCAAATTAAGGTGTCAGTGGAACCAAAATTATCTCAGCTGGACTCACACCTAGTTGAAACAGATAGCTCAAAATTACAGTGGGCGCTTCAAATGATTACAATTATTTACACAAGGTTTTCCCCTCTTGAAAACGGTCAAGTAAATTTTTCTCATTTTTATTACAGTAAATAGGCCTATTATGTGTGTACCGGTATACATACAGAAAAAAATGAGTAGCTCATAGGTATACTTTTTTACATGAATCGATAAACCCCCAAAAGACAGGTGGTTGGTATTCTTTCTTCTGGAGAATTTTGATTCCTAGATGGCAGGAAACGAGCTTCCTCGCCTTCTAATTTTTCCCATTATAACAAATTACGGTCCTGAAAAGGTTGGTTTAAAATTATTATTAAAAATTTTTTTTTTTTGCCCCTGAGGGGGTAGGAGTCAGGACAACCTGATCCCCTCAGATCCGCCAATTTATAGGCCTATAAGTAAGATGCATCAGTATTTTGATTGAAAGACAGGTCTAGACTCATTTTTATTTTTTCCCATTATAACAAATTACGGTCCTGAAAAGGTTGGTCTAAAATTCGTCGTTCACATCACGAACTAACACAATCAAAGTAGATTGTGTTAGTTCGTGAAATCACAGTAGCGCGTCAAAACGAGCGCGTATTGGTTGTCAAGCAATTTTGTATTCTTTACCACACAAAAAGCCCTTAACGACAACAGCGCGTATTTTGACGCGCTTTTTTGATTTCACGAACTAACACAATTGAATTTAATTGTGTTAGTTCGTGATGTGAGCGACGAATTATTATTATTTTTTTTTTTTTTGCCCCGAGGAGGTAGGGCTCAGGACACTCTGATTCCCTCAGATCCACCAATTGATAGGCCTAAGCTAAGTAAGACGCATCAGTATTTTAAGAATTAATAATAACAAATGACAAATTTACTGAAAATGCCAAGGTAATTAAAGCGTTACATGCTGCCCTAATACAGTAATATAAAAATCAAGCCTGCCTAAATCTAGTTAACCGTAAGCGTCGTTCATGCGCATGAGCATTCACATTTCTATGGTAGTTTTCGCTTCATTTTAATTTCCAAAAGAAATTTATTTCCTTCCATATAAAAACACAAATATACAATTTAAAAGAACAAAACCAAAAAGGAAGATGGCAAGATCCCAAGAAGATTAAGTTCTTGTGAAGGGCATGCCAGGAACAAGCAAAAAACGAAAAAGAAACAACACAGGACAAAGAAAAAACAAATAAACAAAGAAGAAAAAATAAATAAAAATAAGAAAAATAAAAATAAATGAATGAATGAAAGGAATAAACAACTGAAGTTCAT